TTTTTTTCTGGGAGAAATTTAATCGCGGATCGATAAAGAAAGGTATAAATATCTATCGTATATGATTTCCTTTTAAATAGCCCATTCAACGAGTTCCTTTACTTCAACTTTCACGTACGGTACCACAAGTTCAGTGATCTCTACTTTCAAAATTTCCTTCAAGGTTTATTTCTATCTTTTTTATTTACATTGCTATTTTGTAGAATTTTTAAAAATTTCATCAATCTTCAAGTTTTTAATTGTTTCCCAGAGCACAGGAACCAATTTGCAGTCACAAAAAGTTCAATTCCGAACGAAAATCCTGGCTAGAAAATATGGAGTATGCATAAAATGACACGATTGCCGAGGACAGAATCGTCCCCCAGTGCTCGTAATCGCAGGCTTGGCGCCGCGCGTATTACCCCGATGTCCACTGATAGAAGCTCGTGGCCGGTTAAGTATATAGCGTTGTCCACCGAGAGAGTACGGATGCTCCGCGGCGAAAGCCAATAAATTAATTGGATTGACCGCGACTGGCTTTGCGCGAACAAATGGGATCAACGATTCTGCCGATCAGCAACGCGTGCCTCCGTCGATTCTTGCGAGCCTCGAAGCGGTCAGCCTTTAAGGAGGCCCGTTAACCGGATGCATTCTATGTCGATGCGCGTTTACACGTGTTCGATGTCGCTTAAAAATACACTAGCACTCGGACAACCGTAGTTTCTCTACGTAACACGTTTCGGGCCAGCTACGTTGATACGTTCCACTACCGACAACCGACAAATGAGATATACGGTGTCGCCTTTGACGGCTTCGCGACTACCAGCGCATTAGCTAGCAAATATCACACGCTAACCTGATAAGCGCGTTATCGATTCTAGTTAAGTTGCAGCCTGGCTTTCGTTTCATAAGCGCTATAACGTTACCTTTTATCAAACTGCCACCAAGTGTTCCTTATCATCTCGTACTAAAACAAATTTTGCTTCGCTAAGATTTGGTGAAAGCCTTGTCGATAATTAGCCCTCTTTTACGAATTAGATATTTTGAGATTTTTTAATACAAAAATTTGGAAATTTGTGTATTTTTTAGTTCACATACATCTGGGAATCTAGGGAGTGGAAAAATTTGTACATGAAAAATGAGAATTCAGAAATTCAATCATTAAGTTTCATTTGTATCCTTATTCAGAGGAAACTGTACAAATCTGGGTCTTGCACGAATTCATGTTCTGTGCTGTTTGTGCTGTGAATACATTTGTTGATACCGCATATTTGCGATGCATTGTTTTAATCCTTTGGTTGCTGTAAGCTTTAACAAAACCCTGAGATATTGTTGTACCTATTGTGGAAACGCACACGTGTACAAGTATTTGTTTATAAATTATTCGATGCTTTTTCCTTGAACCTCAAGTCACTCAACTAATAAACTCTTTTCGTGAGTTTACTTTCATGACGGGTCAAACACTGCACGCGAAATTAACATTACTAACAACGCGAAACCATTAATATCGTATATGACGTAACGTGAAAAAACGCGATGTATCAATCCTTCAAGGCATCTTTCCCCATTTTTCCCACGTGTGTAATTTAACTTGAATTACATTTCCATTATCATCGACGTTGGGTCTAATTTTCTTAGGCAACTGGTCCCGTTCGCGTCACCGTTAATTCTCTCCCTAGTTCACTCGCGCAACAAAGCCGTTGTTGTCGCAATTACCGAGACACGATATTCGCAAAAAGTCTGGGAAACGTTAATCTCCCAGCGGGTAGTACGAGAGTTTCCGAGCTTCTCGGAGCGGTTGTTTGTATCTCGCGAGCAACTTTCGCGTTTTTATTAAAAGCAGCGCGAGGGAGTGACGCGTGTATAGGTCGCGAAGAAGAACGGAGAAAGAGAACGATCCGAAAGGATCGGTGGGACGAGAAGGCGAGAACTATTTCAGCTTTTACGAGGCCGTCGTGGCGTATCCGTTTTGCGGGGTACGACGTGCAAAACGATCGATAACACGCTCGTAACGTTATTACCGACAGGTATACGGAGGTGGGTAGCAGCGGTACTACCGGTAATAATGTGGCTTTTACGGTCGTGGGCGCTGGTACAGCTGCCGCCAAAGTCGGTAAGCGTGGGTTTCCATCGGCCTCTCGAATGCCGTCGCAGCAACCGAATTTGCCCCGCTATTTCCGTTCTTCCCTGACACCCTCGGTGCCCGTTGTTTCACCGGGAATAAAAGCGGCAACGACGTCGGGTTACGTGTCGCCTCTCTTTATCGATCGCCAGAACGATTTCGTAAGATAGCCGATATGTCACTGACTGCCGGATAAAATCCGCCCCCGTTGTTACTGCCACCACTGAAAACCATTCGTGTCTCTTTTCTCGTCGTTTCCATCGAAGCGAGCTTCTTTCTGCGGAGGTTATCGATTAACACGTTCGTGTCAGACCGTGTCTCGAGATACGCTTGACCAAGTGCCATCCCGACAACTATGGGATCCCATTATCGGATAAATCACCTTACTGTCGGTGACCTCGTCACTCCGTGCATCAGCTTCCAAATCGCTACTCCGTCTAGACGGTGTGCAATATGCATGTAGGCCGAATTTAATCACGGTGTACTCTCTCGTATCGTCGATCTTCATTGTTAAATTTAACCGCTTGTCAATTTGGAGATTTTCGAATTTGTTCCTAGTATTTAGAAACCGGTCTGGGCATTTATGGGAGTTTGAGAATTTGCAAATCTGCATATCAATACACTTCGCGCGAGACATTAAAACAGATTCCTGAAACTGAACTCGGTAAACATTCCCGAGTGCCTCGAGATCGATCAGTGTCCGTACGGAATGTTTTAATTTACGATCTGGCTATATCATGCCTACGATCCACCTGTTATTCCGGATCTTTATATAGAAGTTTGAGAAATGTCCCAGACCGAGCGCGTTAACGAAGCTACGTGGATTACATGAAATATCAGCTGCAAAATACTCGCATGACCGTCTACCGTTTCGATCAGCTTTGTTACATCACGAGTAACAAGAGAATAAAAAAAAAGGATCCCAGGTTGTTGCTACATTTCCTTCCCAGTTGGCTGAGAAACGCGACGATAATTAATAATACAAGCTGTCTAACGCATCGACGTCGATAATTAACGATAATTACTAGTCGATTATACACGGTGTAATTGAGTCGATTATCCTTCGAAACGGTAGCCGGTAGTTGGTTACATCTTTACACTCGGCGAGGTAATATCCGTAACGAAACGGAACGGTAGGAAACAATGTTTCTCGCGGTACCAGACTCGATTTCCATCTAAAGTGTTTCCTGAATCCTTTTTTCCTCGAGCCGAGCTTTTACGAGCTGAAATTGTTGCGGGAGGGAAAAAGAGAGAGAAAACGGAGTAGAGAGAGAAGGGTGCAGAGAGAGAGAGACGCGGAGATTTAAACTGGATACGTAATCAGCGAACGGAAGCCAAAGCAGCGGCACGATTTCCGCCGCTTATGCCGCCTGCGTTCGTGTGCACGCCTCGAGGTGGCTGCTTACGTGGGCCGTGACAAGTGCATCCGGCACATCGAAGGATTACCATTCGTTCCGTACGCAATCATGACGTCCGATTGCGCTTCGAACACGTCTCACTCCTTCCGAGAATCATTCTTCACATTCGAAATTCGATTATCCTGTTGTTTGCGAATTAGATCGGTGAACTTACGATTGCGATATACTTTCCTTATATCGTCACGCATGGGGTTGCATGAGCTGAGTTGGCAAGAGTTTCTTACATGGTACGCTTTGCTGTGGAAACTTTGGTACCAGTGATATCGTATACAATGCGATGTAACATATATCACATGTTGATGTAACATACGTGAAGGTGCTATATGTGGAAAGAGTATCTTAACAATTCGACGTATAAAAATGACGAATTTTTAAAATTTTACATTTTCATTTTTAAAATTTTCAAGATTAAAGATGTAGATATTTTTGTCTACATGTGTCGATACCACAGATAGTAGATAACATATAGAACGTAATATACAATACTAATATAACGCAGGGTGATACATGCGTAATCTATCATGGGTCCTAAATCCTATACACAATAATGAAAGAGTGTCATTCGTACTCGAGCATTGGTTCAATCTGCAATATAAGACATTGTGATATAAAGCGTAGACTTGAGAATATAATTCGACCGATCCAAAGCGAAACGAAGCTTGAAAATTTATGTATGGGAGGAAACTTGTTCAACCAGCCATACAGCATCATTTGTGCGAGCTGGAACAAGGCGAAGACTCGCTAATAATACCAAAGGAAAATATTGTCTTGGTTCTTCCTCAAAGTTGCATGGATACAAACAAGATCAAGTAGAGTCATTGAAAGGTAAAGGTAACCTTTTAGTCGCTTAACGTCGAAGCTTTGAGGGCTTCTCTTAGAAGCTCTGACGCAGCACTTTGATGACACGAGGAAGGTGCAGTAACGTTGCTCGTGGATAAATCGGATGTGGAATTATTCTAATCCTATCGTTTTACATTTTGACCTCATTTTCTCTATAAGCAACTTATAATTATATTTTTTGAGGAAATATCGCAAAACTTAATCACCAGTCTTGTAAAACGAATTTAGTCGCTTTAAGATACTCTGGAGCTCTTTTATTTTAGTATCATTTTACTCAGTTTATAATTTGTGAATCAATTTATTTTTTAACTTTTAATAGAGCCGATGAGTAGATCACACTTTTCAATACTCATGAACGTATATTATTTTTAAAGTTTCCAGGACCAGTTTCGATTCGAAGCAGGGTTAACGACCTTCTAAAATTTTGCTCGTATTTTAAATACAAAACGGTAAACAAGTTATATTCGGAATTCGAAGTTGTTCTTTTTACAGTACTTTCAAAAGTTCGTGACGTGAAAATTCGGTTGTTCATTCTTGGAAACGGTTTTTGCGAAAGCCAACAGCGGCTAGCGTGTTTCGACGAACAAAAAACCGTTTGATCGCCGGATGAGCTGACCGTATCGTTTTATTTCGTGTTTCAGGGTCCACCGCAGCCTGGCCAGCAATATAAATTCTCGATCGGCGAGTTGTGCGATCGTATCAAGGAGGACTTCAACTTTCTTCAGACTCAGTATCACAGGTAGACCTCTATGTTTAATACCGATAAATTATACTCTCCCCTTTGCCCCCCTCTCTACCGAAACAAATTCTCGTTATCGAAAAAAGTCAAATGTTTTCGAGGTCGATTCGTGTCTCGGTATTAAAAATGTCGTTGTCTTATTTAAAACGTACACGCGACCTGTTTGCGAACGGAACAAGATGCTGTTTGTTCTTGGGTTTCTTATCTGCAAACAGATTCAACTTTCGAAACGCTTTTCGATCACCATACGAGATACACGATATCGCTCGTAATTATTTGAACAACTGTCCCACTGTTAAGAAATTGATATCGTACTTATCCATGATAAATCGAACGAGAAGGCAGCGAACAAATATTATTTGACTTGGCAATAATAACTTGTTAAAAGGTAAACGAAATTTCTCTTATACATCGATGAAACTTTTACATTACAATAAAATTGCAATAATAATTTCGAAACGTGATTTTTGTAGTTTTATTTTCGTAGTTTCATTAACTCGCTTCTTTATTTAATAGTCGCCGGGAAAGAAGTATTTATCTCCGTTAACAATAATTCATTGACTCGGAGTCAACTGCTAGGGTGTACGTCGGATCTTATCTAGGAAGTGTTTGCGCAAACGTCGTGTCGGCGCGTAGGCGAGCGGACAGACAAACCGACAGATGTAGGCAGAGAATTGTTTGTCCGAGCGGAAGCTATGCACACCGAACTATGCACATAGCCTGAAGGATGAGGGGGCCTCTCGGTTTCGATTCTGTGCACGCGTGTTACACGTTTACGAGCCATTCAACTTCTTTACTGCTTCGAAACATTCTATTCTTATCATCCTTCGCAAAACGATTCTTGTTCCGATGGATTTACTCGTCGTGTTTCGATCACCATTATCCCGGAGCATTCAAATACCCTTTCAACATTTTACAATTCGACTATTATATTTAGCTTAATTCAAAATTTAACTTGGCTTAATTTACGTACGATTGAAAGAATGCAAATTTGAAAATTCGTAGCTTTGAAAATATGTAAAATTATAAGTTTAACCCCTTGCCGTGCCATTTATTTATGAGGTGCGTCAGTCAAGACTAACCATTCAGGACTATAACATTAAAACGAACAAAGAAAATTAAAATGTTCTAAGTATTTTATATTCAGGGATCCTTGACAACGCAAATTATAGTTGGATCTAAAATTCAAGTTGAAGAGTATTCAAAATTTGAGTAATATTAATCACATTTGAGTCGTGAGTGCGTCACGAGTGAGACTCGTCAAAGCACGGGAAGGGGTTAATGAGTTGTGCGATCGTATCAAGGAGGACTTCAACTTTCTTCAGACTCAGTATCACAGGTAGACCTCTATGTTTAATACCGATAAATTATACTCTCCCCTTTGCCCCCCTCTCTACCGAAACAAATTCTCGTTATCGAAAAAAGTCAAATGTTTTCGAGGTCGATTCGTGTCTCGGTATTAAAAATGTCGTTGTCTTATTTAAAACGTACACGCGACCTGTTTGCGAACGGAACAAGATGCTGTTTGTTCTTGGGTTTCTTATCTGCAAACAGATTCAACTTTCGAAACGCTTTTCGATCACCATACGAGATACACGATATCGCTCGTAATTATTTGAACAACTGTCCCACTGTTAAGAAATTGATATCGTACTTATCCATGATAAATCGAACGAGAAGGCAGCGAACAAATATTATTTGACTTGGCAATAATAACTTGTTAAAAGGTAAACGAAATTTCTCTTATACATCGATGAAACTTTTACATTACAATAAAATTGCAATAATAATTTCGAAACGTGATTTTTGTAGTTTTATTTTCGTAGTTTCATTAACTCGCTTCTTTATTTAATAGTCGCCGGGAAAGAAGTATTTATCTCCGTTAACAATAATTCATTGACTCGGAGTCAACTGCTAGGGTGTACGTCGGATCTTATCTAGGAAGTGTTTGCGCAAACGTCGTGTCGGCGCGTAGGCGAGCGGACAGACAAACCGACAGATGTAGGCAGAGAATTGTTTGTCCGAGCGGAAGCTATGCACACCGAACTATGCACATAGCCTGAAGGATGAGGGGGCCTCTCGGTTTCGATTCTGTGCACGCGTGTTACACGTTTACGAGCCATTCAACTTCTTTACTGCTTCGAAACATTCTATTCTTATCATCCTTCGCAAAACGATTCTTGTTCCGATGGATTTACTCGTCGTGTTTCGATCACCATTATCCCGGAGCATTCAAATACCCTTTCAACATTTTACAATTCGACTATTATATTTAGCTTAATTCAAAATTTAACTTGGCTTAATTTACGTACGATTGAAAGAATGCAAATTTGAAAATTCGTAGCTTTGAAAATATGTAAAATTATAAGTTTAACCCCTTGCCGTGCCATTTATTTATGAGGTGCGTCAGTCAAGACTAACCATTCAGGACTATAACATTAAAACGAACAAAGAAAATTAAAATGTTCTAAGTATTTTATATTCAGGGATCCTTGACAACGCAAATTATAGTTGGATCTAAAATTCAAGTTGAAGAGTATTCAAAATTTGAGTAATATTAATCACATTTGAGTCGTGAGTGCGTCACGAGTGAGACTCGTCAAAGCACGGGAAGGGGTTAATAGCCAGACCTTTTTAGAGGGGGTCAAAGGCAAGTGTCCATTTGTTCTACGGAACTGATTATCGTAATAAAATCGACTGCATTCATGGTTCATAGATTGATCAGAATATAAAGTGTAACAAAGGAGCCAGCTAGAATAACGAAACACAATAGAGAAATGGTGAGGTAAAAGTTTGTTTCTCGCAATAACGAAGTTACACCGCGAAGAATCGATAATTTGAACGAGCTTCGAGCACCGGTGGTTACCTTGTTCCCGTTGAAGTTTTGATCGCGGTCCCGCGCGACCAGCCGGCCATTCGAAACAAATAACATCGTAAAAACGTAACAAGCATGAGAATATAGAGGGTAATCGAGAGCGATACGATCTGGCACGCAAGCAACAGCGAAAAGTTAAGTTTGGCCGATAAAAGGGAACTTTCTTCGAGCGTCATGTCGGTTTTCACCTGTACGTTCGCTCTCTCTCCCTCCCATTCGACGATCTTTATCAGCGGCTTGACACGTTAATTTATGCCCCGGCCCTTTAAACGTGTTAATTCGCGACGTCACGTGCCGCACGATTTCCAGCGACGACGGAAACTTAAATTGCTGTTTCGTGTCACAAGCGACACGGACCCGGAGGGTAGAGATACAGAGCGAGAGTAAAACCCCCGAGGTTGTGTGCATACATGCATAAATATGCGCTAGACGTACGTGAGCGGCTTGCGACATTTCGACGCATTCGCTCGCGTTTCCCGTCCAGAGGACACTCGGAAAGTAGCCAATTTCGCACTCTGTGCACACCAACTCTTCCGGAGAGTGCTCGATTTTTCCTTGACCGCACCTCCGCGTTCTCCGACGAACCGACAATGAAAATGTTTGCTACGGAAACGAGCAAAGTCACGGTTAAATCCTGCTCGCTACGTACACACGAGCACATCGACGATGTCTTCGTTTCCCGACGGTTTCGAAACTTGATATTTAAATAGCACGCGTATTAGTCGTGTTTCTTTAATTTATGGCACTAAACTTTCTATCGGGTTTACTCGGTTTATATGAAATCCGCTATTGACATTTAACGACTCGTTGATAATGTCGTTAAGATATCGTTAGAATATCGTTGAGGCTAATGTGATCAAGTTTATTAATCTTATTCGTACCTCCAACTTAATCCGACCTAATCCGATACATAATTTCACGATTCATATTTATTCTTTCTTCAACTACATTAACCTAAATCCATCTTAATCTGAACTTAACCTAATCCAACGTTAATTAAACCCAGTTTGCTACACAAATACTATCCTCATTTACACTGAAATCAGGTTCAACACTTTTCAATCTCAATAACAATGAAATATCGAACCGAACCAGTTGAGTTCAACAGAATGAAATTTACATAGTGAGTACATAATCTGGTGCGATACGATATCCTATAATAATTTCAAATGCCCCGTGAAAAAAAGCCACGTTGTTACAAGCAAAGATGCCGATTCGAGACAAGTACAAGCAGAAACATACTGTTAACAACATCCTGCAGAAAGTAAAAACACTTCAAGGCTCGACAACTCGATCCGATTAGATAATAAACCACTCCGAATTGAATTTCCAATTACCAGATCGATTTGTATAATAACAAGAAGCTTTCGGATCGATCTAGCGCGAGATTTTACGAGCGCGTTCTTTCCATCGGGTCCGATCAAGGTGCCGACAGAAAAAACACCGTTCGAAGAAACGATTACGCAAACGGGCGAGAATTTTCCGCGCGAGCAACGTGATCGCACGGAATAAATTCATTTTATGTCTGCATTATACGGTCGATGATGCGGAAAGCCGGCTAGACGCGGGAGTTAGTTATATTATCAAACGAACGGTGGCACGTTCGCGGATAAACGCTTTCGCTAGATTCCCGAGGGAAAGATCGAGCAGGACGGCGGGTCGAACGAGGGGAACGATAAATTTGCTGTTTACAAATTGACAGTGGCTGAACCGCGAAGAATTTTCGCGGCTACGCAACGCGTGTGGAACAGGTGCTCGTTTTCCGCGTATTTAATGTCACGTTGAACCGTTCACCGTGAAACGGCCTCGATAAGGCATCTTGTAAATCGTTGCACCCCGTCAATCTGAAAATAATTAATGGGCTCTCTGTTGCCGGTCGCGCAACCGGAATTATCGTCCGACCGATCGTTAATATCGTACTAATTTATCGTTGACGAAGCGGTGAGATCCGGCCAGCGTTTCTCCGCTCGAATCTCGCCGCTCTCTTTATCGCTCCCCTCCTTGCCGCTGAAATCCGCTAACGATTGACTGAATTATTCAGCTCTCCCCTTTAAAGGAGCCAACGCGTAAAAAGGAGTGTCTCGTTACCGGTATCGCGCTCGCGGATCGCGAAACGTTCGAGTACGCGAGGCTCTCATGCACACGCGATTCCTTTCTATACCTTGTCCATCCCTGAACAGTCAGTCACTAGAATCTATGAGCTTTTGTCTCGTGATACTGCCAGATTTTTGCTACCTTAATGTTCTTGAAATTTTCACGTGTTAAAATTCCCATATTGCCAAAACCTCGAGACTTACAAAGTCCAAAAGTGTCAATAGTCTTGAAGTGCTAAAGAAATTCTAAGTTACAAGTTTTGGCGCGAAATTGGACATCCATGACAAAAGCCGTGACATTTAACGTCGTGGCATTAAATATCGCGATTTACTATCGCGTGTACCCTCGAGAACGTAGGTCGCAATTTTACGATTCCATGAACGTTAACGATAGAAATACGTTACCCGATGCACTTTCGCTTCCGCAATTTCAGAACCAATCGTAGAACAATAATTTTGCCTATGAATTTCCGCGAACGGGTTCTTACAAAGCGTACAATTTCACCTGGTCAATGCAGTCACGATCACGTAGGATCTCTTTTCAGAAACTTTCTATTCGATTACGATAACAAATGTTAATGGCTCGATGAATCCGGGGGTTAACAGAGACCAATGATTTGACGGGCGATTAATGATGTTGGCAAATACGGAGTAAAAAGATACGAGGTCTTTCGGTATGTACGCGTTGGATATCTTTTTTACCAGTGCGGGTTTCACGAGCATGCTTATTGCATTATTATTCTTCGTTGAACGCCGCCATGCAAAAGAGCAACGACTGTTTTTACTCCGTTCGTTGTCGCGAATTAGCCGGCCTTCTTTTCTCCATTATTCCTCTTTGTTTCCTTCGGACGTTATGATTTTTCTCGTTAGTACCTATTGTCGTGTCGCGCGCGTTTTAATTTAATGTCTCGAATACGGGGACGAGCGTAGAAAACAGACAAAGCTTTTTCCCGCGTTCTCGAGGGTTGCTGGATATTAATGTTGTGCTCTTGTTCCCCTTATGCAGCCTTAAATTGGAGTGCGAGAAACTGGCCGGTGAAAAAAATAGACACAGAGGCATTACGCGATGGTAAACCGTGAGGGAAAAGAATGCGGCGAAAAACAGTTGGGGTTCCGTTTGCACGCGTGTCTCCGCGCTATTGTCCATTCGTTGTTCCTACATTACAAGCTAAATACTTTTCCTACATACCAGTTTTTTGCACTCGGTTGTGTTCTACGAATTACGGATGGAGTAATTAATTTGTTACGTGTCTGAATATTTTATCGTACATTTAATAATTAAATATGAACTTCATTTATATGAACCTCGTGTTTGTAAATGTTAGAATATTAGGATGATTTATCATATGTTTCGAATTATCAAATTTAATTTTCAAGTCTCTCAAATTTAATTTTACAATTTCTTATAATCTGTATGTGATATAATTAGAATTCAGATTCCTAATCAACGTTGGTAGATAAATAGTTAATTCCTTTAATCCGACACAAGTGCGACTTGTCAATTTGAGATTATAGATATAAAGATTGATTTGTGGAATTTTTTAGCAAATAATTATAATTATAATTCAGAATAACCACAAGTAACATTGAAACAAGCAATAAATGATTCCATCAGTTTTTGTAAATTGTAATTTCCATTGAATATTGTGTTGGTCATTGATTTGACGCGTAATGCAATAATACCGAAAATAATAATTTTTGCCTCGGACACCGGTTCTGTTACGTAGCAATTTATCGAAACATTTCGATTCTCCGATGTTCGCTCTTTCAACTGGTCATAATACACGGCTCGTTAAATAACGATACAGGGCTTTTGTTTCGCGGCGACAATGAACCGTGTCGCGATAATAGGATCCAAATGCGCGCTAGTTGAAACCGGTGTACGAAGAAAAGTACCGTAAAACATAATGCTTGCGTAATCGGCGTTATAACGCGGCCGAAATCGAGATATCTCGATGTCCGAGCTGTCCGTAAAATGGACTCCAAACACTGCAAAATGCGTATCTCATAAACTGCACTTCTTGACAAAAGTATCAGCGTATGTCTACCTGAGTAACAAGATTTTATCTGGTTATACTATGATCTGTTAAAATAAGCTATGACAGAGGTGATTCGGTAACGAGTGACACACAAAGCTTAATCCGATCAATCGAAAAGAAACGTTATATAAAGTACAAAATTGTAATGATGTTGGTTTACAGTGTCGTATTGCTGGGTCTCTAATAAAACTAAGTCCAGAGTAGTATAAATTTATTGTACAGATACAGGCGATGTCGGTTCTGACAAAAAACAACTGCCTTTCCAAAGCCTCGGTTGAGGACGTACATGACCCAGGGTGGTCCGTCACCATCCATAAAATTACAACAGACCCAGACTACCTCTCAGGCCCTAAAGTATAAGTGCCAGCAATAGAACCAATCGTCTACAGTTTAAGTATCGTATATTGAGTCTCTAGACTTTAAGTAGCTTTAAGTGACATTTTAGGAAACGATCTAATAAACCAATCTGTACTTTACTGCAAATTTACACTTGATTACGTGCTCAAATGCAATTGAATTCTTTCGTTAGCACGACATACACAATGGCGTTGCTCTATCGTTTATTATAGAAAGGTACGCAATTTTGTAGGAACAAGGAAGGCTTTATTTTCCGCGTGACGGTGGTAAACAAAAATATGACGCGGTCTCGATTGTCGTTAAAAAATTACTTGCAGCATAGAGGGGATTTTATGTGCGGTCGGTCGCGTCGTTTCGCAGCGTATTGTCGCCGTGCCGGTTCAATGGAAATTAATTTTCCATTTAACGCGCCCTATTATTTCGGTCGAGCGGTGGCTTGTTACGAGCCCGCGTCGATAAAGATCGATCGCTCGCGCGGACGGGAAAATAACGTTGCCGCGATCTCGATCGCGTTAAACGTCGATGTCGACTTATTCGTTCGAGAAAAATATGTTACGCCACGTTTCTTTGCTTATCGCGGTATTAAGCTCGATCCTGTGCTCCCGTCGAACTCTCTTGGCAAACACACGCGACACACTCGATTTCCCTCGTTCCAGATGGGGCTCGATCGAGCGAAACAAATTCCTTCTTCGCGATTTCACGAGGCATCCACGCAATTGCACCGATAGTTTCGATATACCGACCGAAGGAAACACCTGTGCTCGAATAACCGTTATCGATGCTCATCGAGATCGTTAATTGCATGTATTTAACGGTTTCGGAAATCGGACTACGGATACACTCATACTACATCGGACTCTGTGGCATTATTAACAACACTGAATCCGGGAAATGAGAAACATGAGAAACACTGCTTTGTCTGCATTTTCTGCAGAAGTGGTACCATCAGGTCTAAGGGCCTGAGACTCTTCGTCATTGAAAGCCATGTCAATAAACGGTGTAGGCATAGTTTCTTTAAGTGGACACCCATATTTTTGACCTCACTTCACTTTTTATACAGTACTGACAGAGTCAAGACCTTCCGAACCATAAATAAATTTCATAGCTTAAAAGATAAAAGAGTGCTGTTATTTTTCGGTTGTTTCCAATAGAGTCTACCATATACCGTGTGTGAGCCATAAGAAGAATTTCTAAAATTTAGAAAAGTCTACTTTTTTGATTTTTCTATCCAACTGATGTGAATGACCTGTGAAAGTATTCTAACCGAAAATATGTATGGAACTTGATGTATGCTCTTTGATTTAATCGATCGTAGTTGCATTTCTTTCGGTACCAAAGCTTATCTTGTGGCGAACGAACAGTAGGTACATAAATCGTTCGAGTCTATAGATATAGATTGTGGACCTCGTAGATTACATGATTTATGTTCACTTTGCAGACTTTGATATATTATAAAGCCATGAAGATCCGTTGTATCGAATACAGAAATTGAAGTTGTGGTTTATTAAACGATTTCTCTAATAAATCGACAGCAGTTCATGCACACAATGATATTAAAAATGGCTTGAAAAATATGGAAGATAAAAAATGTTTTAAGCAATTGATATGAAGGACATTTCATTTTGTGGCTTTATCGATGTTTCGCATTAATCTTTCATTAAGATATCTTGTCTTTCAAGTACATCTGATTTCACGGTTGTGTACGATTTAATAAACATTAAATATCATGTACTTAGCATGACAGATTGATAATGTCACTTAATTACGTGCTCTGTAATACATCAATACTTACTTTTTATTAACAATTGCTTACGTAAACAGCGTCGATAATTACAAAGTTAAACGAATGAAAACTAGATCATGACACGCAAGAACACAGTAAATGCAAATTACATCATAGCAGTGAAAAAGATATCGCGTTTCTTAGTCATTACGAAGGCTTACAGTTTCGATTCGTGTCGATGATGTAACTCGCGCAAACTACACAATGCCGCTCTACATTCCAGAATCTAGAAGGTTAATGTCCCGATAAAGATTTATCGTCACAATCAGTCGATCGTATTATATCTCGAATCTCGTCCCACATGTCCCATAGCTTTTCTGTATGCCGCCTGCACTCACTAATATTTCGCTTACATGTGCGTTTTCCTGCTTGTTCTATACAGTATTAAGTTGGAGCTGGAGAAACTCGCCCAGGAGAAGACGGAGATGCAGCGCCACTACGTTATGGTGAGTGAAAATATTCTATATTTTGTTACGTTTTTAATTATTCTTCTCGCGTTGAAAGCAAAATTCGCTGCTTCTGATACCGATCTTTGTTAAAGAATCGAACTTGTGCCATGAGAAAGTTCCCCATAATTCGAAGGTAATTCGAAGAATATTTATTCAATGATATTCTTTTAAAATATGAAGTAAAGAATAAATAATTAAAGATAGATAAGTGAATTATAATAGATGACTGGATAATAGGGATCAGATAATTCAATTTAATTCCTTTTAACTCCACTTGTTATAGACATACCAATTTGTTCTTGTATTCCTATATTTCTATACCGTCATCCCTACATCTCTACATCTCTAGTTCTCAATATCCCTAATTCTTCATGCTCCTATAACTTATCCTTAGATCCTCAGATTCCTATGTTATACATACACCACTTGTGAGACAACCTGTATCTCAAAGACTAGAGCGTCTTCTCGTAAAACAAGCATAGTAAATGGATTAAAACATAACAACATATTCGAACACGTTGAAACAAAAAGTGGACAATCGAAGCGACAATGTTTTAATGAAATCAGCATGGTATAGCTTAGAAGTCATCAGGTATTCGATCGACCTGCTCAGCGGGTTCTTCTCACGTGGTTTCCTCGTGTTAGCTATTATCTTCTCCTTTCCAGTCTCGTCCGCATACGCAGCCGCGTGCATGTACACCGAGCAACCGTACAGTGCGGCTTACTTTCGCCTGTAGATCTTCATTATTGCGGTGCAACGTCACCGTCGTATGCGTCTTCATTAGCGCAAGATACAAGGTGCACGACTAGCTAGACAGAACCGATGCCGCGTACGATTCCTACGGAGGGGGTCACAGGTCGGCTTTGAATTTACGCACCGTGTGAACTGTACATCGCGATGAGAAATTTTAGCCTTTCGTCACGCGGTTCTGTTTGCGCTTTTTTACGCTAAAATATTTTCCGAGGAGATTAGCGGTGTAAAGTAAACTTGTGGCACACACGTGAAAATTAATCGATATTCTTGGTAAATGTTCTAATGTGTCTTATTATACGGTTTACTGCCCTGTCGCAGACAAAGAATTAACACCTGTTCGTGACAATTATTAGAAACTATCGAATACTTTGTCCATACTCGAATGTCGTTTTGCTAATTTATCAGATTTCAAAATATGTGTACGTAGGTGTAAGACGTGGTAAAATCTGTTTATATTTTACATCAACTTTGTTTTAGTTTTTGAGGAATAAATCGTGAAGTTTGTGATCCTGCATATTTTTACCCACTCTTGTACATACCTGAACATCGAAAATTGTAAATTAATTCCGCGGAGTGCACGAGAGGGCTTAAATTACAATTCCGGCAATGGCTTAGCCAGAAATATCTAGACGCTAAAGAGCTGAAACGTTAAACGTCAATAGACAGGCACGTGTTAATTTGCGTGTACACGAACAGGTAGCCGCGTCGAGTATTTCTGTGTAGCGTAACAATTAGAATGTAGAACGGCAAAGCTGTTCTCTCAGGTGAAAAAGACGAGAGAAAAAAGGTAAAAGGAGAGCAAACAATAACCTACACTCTTACAAATCTCTACGTGTTCAAATTTTTGAATTTTTTAGACTTTCAAATTCTTTAGCTCTCCAAACTTTTAGATTAGCAAACTTCTCATTTTGTGGATTCCACATTAATTTTTTACATTCTCAAGTTCTTCTTGTATATTTCTCAGTTCCAGAAGGTCTGCAAATTCTTAGACCTCGAAATATCTGCATTCCCCACGACCTTAGATGTTCAAGTTTAAAGATTCTCAAATATCAATGTTCTTAAATTCCTAAGTTCCCAACTTCTTGGCTTCCAAATTCCTAAATCGGCAGATTCCCAAATTTCGTAAAAATGTACGAAAGTCAGCGAGTGAGAGCTGTCATATTTTCCCCAGAGCAAGATTTGCTGTTGACTGTACTCGTCGGCGGAGTTTATTGTCTTTGGTCGGTATCGCGGTTATCGCGGACACGCGGTAATTTATAGGCCACACTTTATGGTCGCGTTCGATGCAAATGACTTCATATAAAATGCACGCCGGTTGCTCGCGTGGACGTGGCACTTCCGTCGATTCACGGGCCACGAAGATTAATCGCGGGTTCGTGCGGACGAACCGAGCGTTGTCCCCCCGGTCGATCGATCCTCCTTCGAGACGATCATTATTTTCCCCTTCGATTCACCGCACGTTTCGTCGCGTTCGATCGTAATTTATGCGGCACGCATCGAATTCTCGTGTCCCCGCGAAAAGCCGTTGTAAAAATGACCGTTTCGTTTGTCACCGGCCAGACGAATCGGGAGAAAAATCCGCACGCGGTGTCGAATCGGTCCGGACGTCGCGGCCAGTCATTTATTATTAGCCGGTGCCGGCGGTATCGTATTACGGCGTTTTGTCATTCATGATTAATCATCGAACGCAACAAGAATTTATTGTATTGGCTTCGATTGCACGGATAGCAACAGGTACGTACGCTTGTCGAACATACGCACGCCCGTTCCGCCCTGGTGTCTGACGTGTATCGAGTGACTCGTAAACGGGCCCCTAATGAATCGGCGGCGGTTTGTACGCACACGTAATTGGAATGATTCAGGCGGAACGTCGAGCCTATTCGTTATCGCTTCGTGTATCGCGCTATCTCGACCAACCGAAACATCATTTTCCCTCCTCGACTGTATATGTTATCTTTACGTGTACTGCAACCGCGGTCACACTTTTCGCGCTCCCCACTTTTACTTTCCAGAATTTCCCCATTTTTACATGAGTTAAAAAGGATATAGATATTTTGTGATCTGAGGATTTTGGGGCTTGGGGGTGTATGGATATGGAAACCTAGGAATTTGACGATTCAGGAATGTTTTAAGTTAGCAGTTTGGTTTGAGGGCCTTGGAATATGGGTATATAGGTGTATAGAGATTTTGAGACCTGATGATCTCAGGATAAGAGAATCTGGAGATTTGAGGATCCAGATATGTTGCAACCTACAAGTTTGAACATATAAATCGGAACCATGTATATTTCTGCATCAAACTGGAGGTTTGAGAATTTTGGAAATTGGGACTCAATAATTAGAAAATTTTTAAATATAGAAGTTCAGTGATTTCTAAAATTCAGCGTGAACAAGTTGAGACACTCTGTATATTAAAACGGTGCGAGTTCCAATTGTAAAAAATATGTTAAGAGACGAATGAAAGCTCCTTCGTTAACTCCATCCATGTTTATGGTTAATTAAATGAGTTCTTCCAGAACTTGCAGTGCTGTTTTTTTTTGCGAACGCGTCGTAATTAACGAGTTTAACGAATTCCGTGGAGAACTCGAAATTACGGTACATTACGATCAGTTAAATTAGTCGGACGGATGTAGGCGCCAGTAATATCAAAAGGTTTAAACGAGCATGACGAGCTCATTCGTTGCGAGGATGTTGATATTTGAGAAAGAACGATAAGTTCAATGGATGTGCATTAAATAACAGTTTATTCCGCTACATCGTACGGAGCTAACCCTCTTTTTATAGCTATCCTCGATTTTCCATTCCTTTTTCCATGAGTTTTTGAATCGGCAGCGACGCGCTTAACAGGTTAATTAACTCCTGAATCGAATCGATACTCGCTGGTCCGTGTCACGAGTCGCACCGCAAAAATAAAAAAGCCGAAGATATTTACGGCGAGCGTTTCGCTTAATTCCCCGGTGAATATGGAGCCGTCCTCTTTTTGCCACGGAATTACCGTCTTTTTCTGCTCGTGGTCGGTTTAAAGGCTTTCGCGTTCATGCACCGCAACCAAGTGTGGCCGGCATATTTTATATTCCGGTACTACACTCGGCTGAAACGTAGGCTTCTGTTGGATAAAGACACCTCTACATAAACTTGCCAATTTTTCAATTCACAAATTCTTCTACTTACACATTTTCTGCTTCTCAAATTTTCATCTTTTTCATTTTTAAAGACAAATTCCTAAGTCTACAAACGCTCGGATCAAATCGCAAGATGTCTATTACATCCCAAGATTCACAAATTCATATACACTATACACACTTATATACATGTACACTTCGTATACACTATACATTTCATATAGACTAAATTTATATACACTAAAATTTGTTGCTCTTCAAATTCTTAGACCATGTCCTACATCTTGAACTTATTAATTTATGAATTAAAAATTCTGAAAGTATGAGAGTTTCCAAAAACCTAGACCAAAGACATCCTCAAACAAACACGATGCGAGACAACGGATTAAACGAAACTCGATTTAGAAACGAAACACGTTTTAACAACGAAAAAGATTCTCCGCGTAACTGCGAATGAAGGGGTAGATTGTCCAGCGAGTAAAACGTCGATCAAAGAGGCGGAAAGAATGGGTAACGTTCATTGGAAGGCAACTAGCACCGAGTCGAAAAGTTGGAAAATCTCGAGGTAGTCAATGTACCGCACCGGACGAACGATACGCTTGGAGGCGATCTGTTCCGCGCGGTTCGCGCTCGTAAAAGTTCACGAGCTCGACAATTACGTGAAAGAGTCGTAAAAGCGTAATGCCCCGTGGCCAGGGCTGTATCGTCGCGTAACGACGTCGTACGAGCATCCTCTTCGCGAACACGCCATTCTCCGGTACCGCAACCATTGAAAACAAATCCGAGAACGGAAGTCGACGGAGTCGATTCGCGAAACGTCTCGTCGCTACCAACGGTAGAAAACATATCCGGTGAACCGAGACGCTTGCTTTTGCACCGGAAATGCGAGACTACTGTCGTTTATACACGTTGTCGAGTACGGTTCGCTTCCCTAAAGGAAATGTAACGAATTTGGGGGTTGCGAGAATTCGGGATGTGAGAATTTGGCTAGCTTCGACGAGTTAGGAAGTTTGGGAATTTTGGAGATGAGTTTGGAAATTTAACACTGAAACTACCAAACCGGTCAAATGACCGGTCCACAAGTTTCTTATTATAAGGTATACATTTTGTTAAAGTACACAC